CTTCCTTTGTAGCCATCCACATTCAATCAGACAGAAAGACAAATATTTTTTAAATGACATTTTCGTATTCAGCAACGAAAATAAATCTTTCAGAAATCTGGATTTTTTTCTGATATTACAAACACTCCAATTTTTATATTTATAGATGTCGCTAATCGAAAGTTACTTTGTCTGAGGGGCTGTTTTTCATACCTGTCATGCATAAGCTTTAAGCAGTTGACATTCGCTTTAAGCTCCTTTAATGACCTTACCACACTACTTGTTTCCTATTAACATTAGGTAACTTCCCGATTTAAAACTAAGTAAATATTTAATTTGAAAACGCGTGAACACTCGTATAATTTGTTACCTAGTTTCACGCTTAAATTGATTTGTGTGAATCCGTTTTTTATATTGTTTTGTATCACGTTTTAACCTATGTTAGATATTATTATCAACTAGCTGTTCCCGTGCGATTTCATCAGCATAAAATTATTTTATTGTTTACATGTGTCAAATTATCAATAGCAAATGTCAAAATGACATGACATGACAAAACTTGGCAATCTTGCTTCCTTAATGTTGGCAGCAACTTATGGTCTCTTTCCCACATTAGGGTTTTTATCCAAAATATTTACCCCCTAAGTTTAATAGCGTGAAAATGTATACCCTAAAGCGTAACGTAAGTGTACAGCTTCTTATTAAAACAAGAATTATTCAAAATTATGCTGTAATTGCTGACATCTTAGGCAACAAAGAAGTGTGTGTTTGCGCTTTATTATAATAGTATAGATTACGAATCATGTTTGAATAGTTAGACATTTGTTTCATCGAAATTTTAGAAAAGCTGAATGGGTCTTTATTAGTGTAGACGTAGAATTTAATCTGGATTAACACAGAGGTAACTGAATATATTTTATTAATTCTGCACTCACGAAATCTCAGGCTACTGTAAAAAATGTAAAAGTTTAATATAAATTTTTATCTCAAGAATATTTGCTATTACAATTCACAAGGCGTGATTATTAAAATATAACACGAATTAATTATACTAATATTATAAAGAAGAAAGTTTTACATTCACGTATGTATTTAAATAACTCAAAAACTACTTTCAAAATCTCTTTCACCATTAGAAACGTAATTGAGTAACATAGGCTATATTCCATTGTTACTAATTTTATGGGGACGAAGTCGCAAGCAACAGCTAGTATCTACGTAAAATTATAAATTCTTATTACTTAAAGCTTTATAAAACAATTAATTGTCGACTAAGTAACAATAGTCAATAATTCCGAGTACAGTACATGCCTTTCATCCCCTATACCGGGGGAGATGGAGGGATGGGTCTGAAGGGAGGGCGCCCCTCTCCAGAGGGAAGTCTGGCTTCAGACCGCGAGTGAAAGGCGCATCGTACACACGCGCCCGTGTTACAAACATGTTTTAAGTGCTAAGTTATTAACTTAAATATGTCGAAGTATCACTTGCTGTTAGCTATCTTCATGGCACTCTGTCTTATCGGCGGTAAGTTATTCTATTACTTAGTTAAGTAATTATAATAGTTTCGGTGTTGTTCTGTTGTAACTCTATGTTAATATGTTAGGTTAGGTATTTTAAATTATTCGAATTGATATGTAATTATTTACTGGTTGTAATGAATAATATGCGATTGATTACATCTTAACACTGGAGGTATTTTAATCGATTTTTTAAATCAGTCAAACCGTTCATCATATTATTATAAATGCGAAAGTTTAGATGGATGGATGTTAGAGTTTGTAGCTTAAACGGCTTAACCGATTTTGATGAAATTTGGCATAGATGTAGAGGATAGTCTGGAAGAACACATAGGGTACTCACTTTATTTTTAAATTCCACGCGGACGGAGTCGCGAGCGAAAGCTACTATAACATAAATACTATTATGCAGTTACGAGCTTTTATCCGCGACCTAATCCGCGTGGAATTAAAAAATAAAACAAAAGTTGTTAGCCTATGTGTTCTTCCAGACTATCCTCTACATCTATGCCAAATATCTTCGAGATCCACTCAGCAGTTTAGGCTACAAACTCTGACAAACATTCATCCGTATTAACTTTCGCATTTATAATATTAAGTAATATATTAATAAAACATTACCCAAGTTGAAATATCATTTTAATAAATGTACAATAAACAAATAATACGCATAGCAAAATTAATTTCATTATTTTGAGAAAATTTTACGAACTTAAATGTGGAATTACAAAGTACTTTTAAAAAGCTTTCTTTTAAATTCAAATGTATTATACTTATTGAATGGTCAATGGAATAAAGAAGTTGGATTTATTCATGTCAAAATAGAAATTGACCCCCGGAGATGTATTCGAATCTATACTATTATAATAAAGCGTAAACACACACTTCTTTGTTGCCTAAGATGTCAGCAATTACAGCGTATTTTTGAATAATATTTGTTTTAATAAAAAGTACAGCTTACGTCACGCTTTAGGATATACATTTTCACGCCATTAAACTTAGGGGGTAAATATTTTTGATAAAGTCCCTTATGTGAGAAAGAGACCATAAGTTGTAACGAACATCAAGAAAGCAAGGTTGCCATGGTTTGTCATGTCATGTCATTTTGACATTTACAATTGATAATTTGATATATGTAAACAATAAATTAAAATGCTCATAATTTTGAATAGTGTGATAGAAATACAAGCGTACAATTGTTTAGTCGCTTTGATTTATATTAGATTATATGGAGGTGCGACACTTCTCGATTTTTAATTGTAAAACTGAACAGTTGAAGGCTGCGAAACAATCGACAATCGCACAACAGTTGTGCGATAGTTTAATCACAGGTATGCACGCTTTAAAAGATACCAACTGATTTATGCGATCCTGGTATCGTCAATTAATATTAATTTGACTTACAATTATATTTAGTACAAGCGTTTAGGGAGGCGGTAGAGTTCGCCTTGGGCTCCTAACAAAAAGGGGCACAGGTCCGCGAATTACTTTGATATAAGATCTTAAATAATGGTAAAAACGAGGAAGCCAAACTCTTGGCCAAGACGTAGGTCTAAAATCGATGATTTAATTCAAAATACAAAACCCTTAGGGTGAGTTGCACCATATCGGCGGTTACCGTTAAAGTTAAAATTATTCGTAACGATAATATTTTGAATAACCTTAAAATTTACTAAGGGTGAGTTACATTAACTAACTATAAACCTTAACCAGCACATTCCCGATGGTTACGTCTACGGATGTTCATGATATTCGCTATACCAGTTTTGCGCTCGTCAAAATGACGTCATATTTGACACTAATCATAACCGCCCGATTTTGGGCGGTTATAGTTAGCGTTACGGTTAGTGTCAGTTCGGTAGTGTCAACTGTCACAAGCTCTTATCTTCAAAAGTACAAATAATGGAAAAAGTAATGGAAAAAGAAAATCTCTACTATTATCCTATACGTAATCCAGAAGAATAAAGTCTTGCGTGCTCGGAAATAATGAATTTCCAAGATGGAACTCGAAATTTGGCCAAACATTCAGTTTGGACAAATTTCGAGTGTCAAAGGCCATAGCAACAGCGCTTGTCCCTTTTCTCTTATTTAAAAAAAAGTCCTCCATAAAAGAACAATTCATAATATGCATTGAGAGGACAATTTATAATATGGAAAATAAATAAGATGCATTTATATTTGTATAATTTTATTGCTTCATTTTTGCTACGTATTTGAGTAGTAAAGTAAATACAGTTTCAATAATGGCCCAAACTAGTTTATTTTCACAAGAGTTTGCTATTTTCTCCATCTCCTGGGGAAAAAGTTTATGTCACTATAAAATACCATGCGTATGATACATAAATATATACGGCGAAACATGAATTTCCAAACATCTTAATTTACGTAAATGTCATTCTTGACACCAACTTGACACTTTAGTGACATTCAGGTTTAAATGTTTCCATTGTAAAAACGAAAAACACATAAAACCTCTGTGAGAATATGTTTTTGCACTTGTAACCCTATTAACTATAACTATAACTTTTACGATAACCGGCGATTCGATGCAACTCACCCTTAATGTAACAACACAAGACCGCGCGTCTTTTGTTCAGAGTCAATCCGCACGCGGATAGTTTTTATACAGAATAGAAAAAAAGGCTTAAGAATTAAATCAACGTTCACGGCTAACGTTGGATAACGAAACTGTAGTTCCGGTTTCAGGGCAATAAACTCTTACAGGAAGAGTTCTGACACGCGATCATTTAGCATTGCTGTACTGGAACTCCGAAATGACAATATTTTCGTTAAAGAACCAACCATTTCCTCAAATATCGGCAATCTGTAGTTCCTCTGGTGTTGCGGACGTCCATGGGCGTCGTTTTGATGTTTCCGCCGTTTGTTTGACCCCTCAATTAAATTTGGAATAGATGAAGTTGATGGTAATCTGTAAGAACACATACACTTACTTTGGTCTTTTTAATTCCACGTGGACGGAGTCGCGGGCGAAAGCTGGTATGATAAAAAAGAATTGCTACAAGTCCCATTTCAAATCTTTCACTTTTAATCTCGAGCTTTGAGGTGAAGATAAATAAACAAGAAGAGCTTTTAGAATTCCATGTATATTTACGAACCGCCATTTTGTGTCGGATCACTGCGTTTTGTCAGATGCACTTTTAAGGTCAACAAATCCCCGCGGTGGCAGCCCTACTTAACTCGTTATTCCAGTGCTTTTAAAATGAAAATAGTTGTTAGTTTTACAATTCTAATAATGCATTTTCAATGATGTTATATGACTCGTTGTTTGCTTGCAATAAAACTTGGTTTGTTAAGTTGTAAAGCGATTGACGGAACCGAACTATGAACCTAAACGCCAGTTTCGATTCCCGCTATACCAATGTGATTTAAGATTTTTTAAATCTCATATATAGGTACAATTATTAGTCGCGTTATAATCAAGGAAAACATTGTAATGCCTGCAAACATATTTTTAACTAGATCTTTTACATCTAATGGCCGGTTTCCTACTTACGTTTAACCATTCGTTAGGTTGGTCCGTTTTCGAACGTCATAACTTGAGGTTTACTGCGATTAGATCTGGCTCACGAGGTTACCGCCATGTGGCGTATGAAATCGTCTACCATTATTTCGATAGTCGTTTCGGTACACGGCCTAATAGCGAAGAGCTTCGACCAACACCTCAAGAAGCTCTCGCTAGATAGTTGGATTAAAGGCTCGATTCAAGAGGCAGTTATTTTACAAACCACACGCATAGTGAGAAGGTTCCTGTCTCTGCAGCCCTGACCAGGTTGCTTGAGTCATGGGGTTCCGCAGCCGGTGGTGCTCTATTTTTCACATAATATGTTTTATATTTTTTTCTATTTATATCAATAATGTAAAATATATTACGTAGAAAATAAACGAATAAAGATATTTGGTAAGTTCAGAAACCCAGCATAAAAGTTTGTATCAAAGAAAAGGTTTATATCTCTTAAGATAGATATATTTTTTTCGAGAAAAGTAATTTCGATATAACGTATGATCTCAAATTATCTCTGTCCGCAATAAAATCGTAGCAAATGGCTGGTTTGTAACAATTTTCCGTCGAATTGATTTTATATTTTATAACCGCAAAAGGTTATTCTCTTTGCGAATATAATATCAAAAGTCAGAAACAATTCTAGATTTATTTTTGAACAACGAATAGATTACGCTTTTTGATTAAAAAAAATCATACTAACACTTAATATTTTAAATGCGAAAGTTTAGATGGATGTTTGTTAGAGTTTGTAGCCTAAACTGCTGAACGGATTCCAAATGAAATTTGGCATAGACGTAGAGCATAGTTTGCAAGAACACATAGGCTACTCAGTTTTGTTTTTTTAATCGCCTCGCGGACAGAGTTGCGGGCAAAAGTTAGTATTGATATAAAATATAATGAATGCTATAGAGGTAAAATTAAACGAGCTTTTCACTTTATATAATCACTAGCCGTTGCTTGGTACTTCGTCTACGTGGAATTAAAAAATAGGAAATAAACGTAGCCTATATTACTCACTGATAACGTAGCTTTTTAATGGTGAAAGAAATTTTGAAATCGGCCCAGTAGTTTTTGAGTTATTTCAATACATACAAAAAAACAAATCTTTATTATATTAGTATAGATATAGATTTAAAAATAGTCTCGTAATTGTAACGACTTCCTTTTTACGTGTTTATTTATTAAGTGCAAGATTTTAACAGTGGTAGAGCAAGCAACATTTGTTGCACTAATAAGCAGATAGCAAAATAAAACAAAACGACCACAAAGAATACCCACCCTTTCCAAAAGACAAGGGAAATGGATTTGGCGGTAGAGGAGACGCAGAGGAAGGGAATATGCGACCTCTGTCGTTTAAACGCAACGCTTGTCAATACGGATGTCTATGGGCAGCGTTTATTTCACTGTTTAAGCCAATTCAATTTTCTTGTTCGCTAGTTATCTTCTACTAAAAAACTCTTTTAATAAATACTAGCTTTTGCCCA